CTAGTGAGATAATACTAGACCATAAAAAAGACAATATTATATGACCATAAACAAACCACTGTAAACACATCACTCCAAAAAATAATACTCAGTACCCACGCCAAGATCTCGATCACTATACAGGCATGCCCACCGCCCCACAGGCACCGTCTAGTGCACCCTCCGCAGCAGTTCGTCAACACTCTCTAGTTTAGACATTAGCGCGCATACCACTGTTTCATATTCGACACCTCAGTCCGATGCGTAACGCTCACCGCCACCCTATACCAACTGCACGTTCTATATACTGACTAATTCGCAACAACACAAATAGCCATATACTATCATTATGGCACCTGCACCGACTTCTCAAGCGCGACCACCTAGCCCGCGCGACCGCACGCATTTTTTTCCCCCCAGGACTCTGAGTGTCTCGGACCACAGCCAATGTCAGCGCACTCCCCATATTACTCGCCTCCTCGAACGCAACACATCCTATACTCTATAATTTTGGCCTAATCCTCGTGTCGTGTGTGGTGGTGGTTTGGTTACTCTGTCTCGCCTCGCCTGCATTTGTCCATCACTCGCTAACTGAATCCACCTATTCAGAAATCCCACCCACCCGTCCCCTGGGACGATGGTTCCTCGCGCTCGAGAATTTTCCTTTTTTTAAAAGTTTCAAGTATTAGTATTAAGTCAAAAATTCCGACAAAAACATGCTAATTCCGTCAATAAGACTGGCACGTCGGCGTACAGCACATCCACCATCACACTACGGCAATTACACTGCGTCCTCTTGACGACGAGCGATGAAGCATATTCAGAATCACCACCCGTTGGGCAGATCGGTTCTGGCCTCCAAACCAAAAATCTATTCCTCCAACTAGACTGGTCTACGTCTCAGATCCGCCTTATGCAGATTCCCCCTAACTGCCAGATTCCCGCCCTGCTCACTCTGCTTTGACGTAGCACCCGTACTCGAACAGTATCCAGCTGGCCAGTAACTGCTGCGGCCACGGCTTCCTGCTTGTACCAGCTGCAGTGGTTTTCTTTTCAGTTACATGAACTCATTACACTTATCTGCCTGTCACATTACATGCGCAGTCTTTAATTTAAACGACAGAACATTTCGCTGGTTACGGGTATACTTTTGCTAAGTGTAACAGCAATCCCCTAACCCTAACCTAACCTCAACACCGAACCCTACACACGTAACCCGACCCTACACATAAACTATAATCCAACCCTATATATAACAACATTTCATTACAATACTATCTCGACCTGTCGGTCCGAAACCTCCAAGTGGGAAAAAAAATTTGCGACCACGGCGTATAGCAAAACGTCATCAACAATTTCCAATAAGCGTTACGCGGAATGGCGGTGCTCGCAAAGTCTAGGGCGCGTCTCTCATACCAATACAATCACAAGCGGCAATTGGGATCAATAACTATTGTTTTCCAGTCAGACAGGGGTCCGTAGTCTTTCATTTATAAAACGGTAGGAATTTTAAGATAAATATTGTTCTGCTTCTTAACAGAATAGTAAGGCATCGGCGTACAGAAGTCCTCGACGCTATGAGCTATAGGTTTACGCTTCACAGTCACAAGTGAGATAATGACAAGCAAGAAACATGCGCTACTGTTACTATACTTTAACTTCTTCGATCTTACACCACGAGAATAATTAAACACAACAAACACAGTATATACTATATATATATACATAAATTATTATATACTAAAATATATAAACGAATGGCCGCCCAGCATTGGCTATCTTTCAAGGCCGCCTACTCAATGTCTTGAGCAAAGGACCATCATGTGCCGCCATAGTCCCTCAGGGCCGCAGGTGAACGATCGAGACCCTAGCAAGTTCATTTTCCGTACAATTCGCAGCCCGGTTCCCGCTGCTATGGTGGGCCGCTAGCCGAAGCAGCTGGCACATATCCATCTAAACGCATAGGAAGCCCATGCAATACAAGATAACAACTGGAGAACCGGAGAGACGGACGGAGAAACCACGGCCAGAAATGGCGTGAAGGTGCCTTGCAGCGTGACAGGCGTGCGATCATTGATAACCTTCGTTCGCGCTTATCGGAGCCGTTGTAAGAGCAGCTGTACTCCACTTACCCTCCTGAACCAACACGCGTTCAGCTTGCTCGAGGCTCGCTTTTAGTTTGTCGAAAATATTGTTGTGTCTCTTGAGGCATTTCTGGTTATAGCCGAAGAAACACTCGCGAATAAAAACGCGGTTCTGGTTAATGATCTAACCACAGACGAAGGTACGCGGAAGGAAAGACATTGGAGCGAGAATGCGAGCAGATAATCGCGTCATCTCTCTCCCTGCTGCTCTCCTCTCTATACTATATATGCCTAAAGATGAGCAATAAGCAGTAATGTTTGTTTTCAATCTCTGCAGACCAATTGCACTGATGCTTATCCAACGGACCGTCGCGAAACGCGTGTTACGGATGATATCAGAGTGAACTAACTAAAACATTCGCACATTATTCACCGTGGTAATAATCTTAATCGGGTTTCACAGATCAATGAAACAGGTATAGTGTCTACAGTCCCCGTGACCTGCACCTTAAATCTTCTGCATAAGAACTCGTCCGGCTGACCAACAGTCGACGTGAGGCGGAAGCTGTAACATACGTTACTCCTAACGAATAGCAATTTACCGAAAAATCACGCATCACACGAAAACAAGTCACACTTGGATACGCACCCCATCCATTCCCTTCCCACATACGCTTACCTCCGCTGCCCGTCCCGCTCTCTGCCCGTCATCGCTCACCTCCCTTTTATCCCTCATCTCGCCCCCCGTACGCCCTTATCTCCCCTCCCCCCCTCCCCCCTCGTACGCTCACCTCCCCATCCCTCCCCTCTCCCCACCGTAACCGCTCATTCTCCCTCACGACTTCCCTCCCGCCGTACGCCGAAATTTTTTTCCCAGCACCGAGAGTTCCCCGGACCGCCAACCAAATTCACAGCGCACAGGTAGCACCCGCGCTGCATCCATTCTCTCGACTCGACTACCTCGAAGCAAACAATCGCAAAATTTATACAACCTAACACCCTAACCCTAAACCTAACCCTAGACCCTAACCTAACACTATACTATACTAACAACCTAGATCGCGCCTTATATAACGCACGCATATCTATTACACAAACACCCTATGGCTGTGGTGGGTCCCGGAACTTCTCGTGGGAAAAAAATTTCCGCGCCCCCGTACGCTCACCTTCCCGCCCTTCTTACGTTCGAACTGCACGTAGGTGCGGCTCGTCCCTCGTACAGGTTCCTTCCACTCGCGCCGCACCACGCTCGGTTGTGTTTGTAGTCGTGATGTTATAGGAGACGCTTATAGTCACGCACGGGTACCGCAGCAGACGCTGACATCGATTTGTGCAGCACGTGTACCTGTGAAATTTTGCACAGGGGAAAGATAGTGATCCGCTAGGGAACGGCTCTGATTGGCTAATTTTGTCTCTTATATATTTTATTTTTTATTATTTTTGGCTAATGTTGTTTTATTTTAGAATTAGGGATAGGGTTAGGGTTAGGGTTAGGATTAGGGTTAGAGTTAGGGTTAGGGTTAGGATTAGGGTTAGGGTTAGGGTTAGGGTTAACTGATCTCTATATCCACAACTTATTTCTATATTCACTATCTCTCCCCTGAGACCTACTGTGCCTGTGTGTGTGCACGGGAAAGAATGTGGCGCCATCTGTGGTCGGACATGCTAGTCATAACGTACTACACACTACGGGTAGTACCGAACCAACAATAGTTTACACATTATTGACGACGATGTATATTAAAGAGAAAAAAGGAAGCGAAGTGACGACTATTACTTTGGAGAGGAGAAAGAGAGATGGTGACGATCATGGCATTGGGAAGGAGAAGGAGGATGATGAGGGCCATGACCTTGAAGATAAGAAGGAGGAGCTGTGACGCTGATGACCAGAATAGAAGGAAGCTAACGCAGCGATCGACACGATGACGACGACGACAACGTTGACGATTAATAATGAGGATGATCACAACCTAACACGAACAAAACTCCGGTTAGCACGTTAGTACTTACTCTCCGTCTAGCTGGCTCCGGATAACCGTACACTTCGTCTCCAGAAAGTCGTCAGTTCTCAAATAAGGCTTAGCGAACCTGATCCAGAGGAGCGAAAAACCCACGGTGACCATGAGGAATCCAGCCGCGACGGCCATGAAGAACCCGAGGGCGAGGCCGACACGGAGGCCGGTAGATTTATCCTCGGGTGCGTCTTTGGCAGCCATCTTGGAAATTGCTATATCGTCTGCGGTATGCGGGTATCCGTGCCGTATAGTGGTGACTGACGAGCGAAGGGAGGATGTTCGGAGGGAGATGAATTCATCGAAACGATTTGATTGACCGCTCATTATCAGTTTTAGATTATCACTAATAACTACCTTATAAACTTACCTAATAACTATTACTCATTGCTTTACCTTACCTCTACTCACTGCTTTACTTGGGTTATATTCACCGCTTTACTTGACCAATATTCACTGCTTTACCAGAGAAATATTCCCTGCTTTACCTGACTAATATTCACTGCTGTACCTGGCCAATATTCCCTGCTTTACCTGACCAATATTCACTGCTACACACACACACACACGCACACACGTACGCTCATGTACGCTCAACGGATGTCAGAGAATATGCGCAGCTCTGCATGGCTGCGGTAGTGAAGCTGTACATTACTCACGGAGGCAGGAGAAGCTAACGCGTGGAGGCTGTGAGATGCCCCGCGAGTAAAAGCAGCTTCGTAATAGTTGTCTGTCATCACGCGCAAGGAACGCTCGCTTCGTCTGCTGCCGCTACTGCAGGGCTCTAGCTGTGTTACCGATGGCGGGAGCAAGCAACGATGACGATGACGATAGGTAAGCTATCAATGTGTGTTATAGTGTTGTCTTGTATTTCTTATACACGCGCGCGCGCACTCACACATGTGCGCACGCACACACGCGCACGCACGCACATACACGCGCGCGCACATGCACACACGCACGCACGCGCGCGCACACACGCGCACAAACGCACGTACAGACGCACGAACACGTACCCACGCGCACACATACACGCGTACGCACACACGCGCTCGCCCGCACGCACGCACGCACGTACGTACGCACGCACGCACGCACGCACACACACACGCACACGAGTCCACATTGCCGATAAATTTCGAGAAATACAGGTTTCCATATCCGCACGATTACAAGATGTATTCAAACATAATTAACCCTACCACCGCAATTATTGTTTATTACCATGAACTTTCTCTCAACTCCCCGGACTATTAGCTATTATTCACATTACGTCACATACGATAATATTTGCTCGTCGGATCTACAGTTATTGTTTTTAGATTTTTGCGTAACAGGTAAACCAAACTCGGCAAATATTTCCACATGCTGTATACTTGGAATGTATGCGACACACTATAGTGCACCGACACGCATCGGGTAAATAACTCAACACCATTCAACCGCCAACCTTCAAACTTTAAACGTATTTCGCTTTTAAACCGTATGTAAATATTCGCAAGCTAAATCTGTGTATTTTACAGCGTGTCGATGTTAAGGCCGCCGCACACCAGCCGATTTTACAAACGATGAAGCGATGAAGCGATGAAGCGATGTAGGTGTGCGAGGGGGCCTTAAAATCGGCTCATCGGCTCATCGGCTCATCGGTTCAAAATCAAACATGTTTGATTTGGAACGATCACCCGATAAAAATAAAATCGTCTACAAATGAACGCGCACACCTACATCGCTTCATCGCTTCATCGCTTCATCGCTTCATCGCTTCATCGCTTCATCGCTTCATCGCTTCATCGCTTCATCGCTTCATCGCTTCATCGCTTCATCGTTTGTAAAAATCGGCTGGTGTGCGGCGGCCTTAAGCCACTAGGTATCTGAGAAAAATTTATACATTGTTATGCATTGTATATATTATACCTTGTATATATATTGTATATATATATTGTATATACATATTCAATGTATAGGCCTGCATTCTCAGCAGCAGCTACGTATATATATCGCGTCGCGTGAAGATGTCACGTGACCACGGCGCGTCTGGCGGCCGTCGTCAAGGTTACGGCGTCACCCAGTGGCGCACCAAAATGGCGTTTAGTGGATGCATCCGGCGGAAATCCGTCTCTGATAGCAATTCATGGGTGAATGCGAGACTTGGGGCACTCGCTGGGTGTGAATGTGCGGCACTGGTGTTTGACGGACGACGGATCGGTTAGAATTAGTGGGTAGATGGAGGGAGATCTGATGCGTAGAGAGGATGCCTATTGGTTTACATAGGTACACATTAACAACGGGAAACGCTGGTGTTATGATAGGGTGTGTGTGTGTGTGTGTGTGTGTGTGTGTGTGTGTGTGTGTGTGTGTGTGTGTGTGTTGTGTGTGTAGGTGGTGTGTATGTTTGTGTGTGTGTGTGTGTGTGTTTGTGCGTGGTGCATGCGTGCGTGTGTGTGTGTCATCCGGGTCTACACGAGAAGACAGAGAGAAAAAGAGAGAAGCAGAGAGAGAGAGAGTGAAGAGAGAGAGAGAGAGAGGAGAGAGAGCGAGAGCAGAGAGAAGAGGAGGCGAGAGAGCGGAAGAGGCGAGAGAGAGAGAGAGGAGAGAAGAGAAAGAGAGAGAGAGAAGAGAGAGAGAGAGAGAGAAGAGGAAGAGAGAGAGAGAA